CAGGAAGTAGCTAAGAGAATACGCCGTCCCCTTTTCCTTATGAATCAGGGTGAAGTCTCTCTCAGGGAGGAGTGATAGGGAATGGCAAAGGATACACTGACAAAGAAGATTAATCAGAACTGGCTTTGACAAGCACTGTGGCATTTGGACAAGAACAAACTGGGAGGAGGGTAGAGAGAATAGTGCAACAATGAATGAGTGGAAGCCCAAAATCTCTGTAAATGTTTATGAAAATTAATAAAATATAATTATAGAAAAAAAAAAAAAGGACATATCCCTGGCATACACTCTTCCCAATTTTGAACCATGCAGTGTTTCCTTGCTCTGTTCTGACGACAGCCTCCTGGTCCAAGTATAAGTTTCGCATTAGCACGATCAAGTGTTCTGGTATTCCCATTCACAGAGTTAGCCACAGTTTGTTTTGATTCACACAGTCAACTGTCATGACTGGTAATGTTAAATTTACTTTATGATTCTATTCATTTAGGACGCATTTCCTAATGTACTCCACATGCCAGGTACTGTATTAGATACTCAAGTTACAAAAATAGAAGTGGTTTTGCTGTTGATTAAGCTCAAAAGTTTGCAAGTCAGGTTAATTTCAATATGCAGTGCTTCTTTTATGAAACACCAAAACCAAGCCAGACCATTGCCATCAACATCATGATAGATGGAGAGAAGATTGAAGTCAACTCTTTAATCCTGCTTGGCTCTACAATCAACACCCTTTTCAGTCAGGAAATAAACCCCTCATGCCTTGGGTAAATGATGTCAGAGACCTCTGTTAGGGGGCAATAATATTGGTTTCAAGAGTGCATCTGATTCAAGCCATAGTCTTTTGGACTTGTTCTGCATCTTACAGTTGGACAAAGACTAAGTATAACAAAAGAAAAGTCAATGCCTTTGAGTTGTTTTGGAGAAAAGTACTGAATATCAGATGATGGATTGTTAGAAGAATATGTCCTTGAGAAGGTACAGCCAGGTGCTTGCTGCTTGAAGACAAGGATGGTGAAACTATTTCACGTATCTTGGGGATGATGGTAGGAAGTCCTTAGAGAAGCATCTTTCCATGCCTGGAAAGGTAAAGGATCTTCAACAAGCTGGATTGATACAGTGACTGTATTAACAATGGGCTCAAGGATGTCTGAGATGAGGAAGATGGCACAGGATAAAGCATGGTCCAGATATTACTGTTCATAGGGTTGCTATGAATAGCTGAGATAAAACCTAAATAGTAATTTTTGCATGCTATGTGCTAATGACTACTTGTTATATTCTCCACTCATTGCTGTGAAGTCTAAAAGGACTCGATAAATCACCCAGGAAGAGATTACTCCTCTTTCTCCCGTACAGCAGCTTGTGAGGTCAAACTGTGCTTTTGCTTGGCAGTGCAACTCTTTACTACTAAGCCACCAGAGCTATCTTAGTTATATTAACTTTATTAATTCAATCTTCAAGATAAGTTACTGCTTTTATCTTTGTTTTACATAGAAGAAAACTAGGTAAACTGAGGGAACTATACTTGAATCCAAATAGTCTGGTTCCAGAGCCTGTTCACCAGATTACTCCACTATGCCTCTCAAAAATGGAAGAAAAATTATACTTTCTCTATTTTGAGAAAAGTGGGAATACCAGAACACCTGATTGTGTTCATGTGAAACCTTGTGTTCATGTTAAATCTATACTTGCACCAGGAAGCAGTCCTCAGAAAAGAGCAAGGAAACACAATGGATCAAAATTGGGAAAAGAGTGTTTCAGAAATGTGTCCTATCTGTATGCAGAACAGATCATCCAGGAGGCTGGGCTTTATAAGAAGGAATTGTGGCATCAAGATTGGAGGAAGACTCATCAACAGCCTGCAATATGTGTATAATACAACCTTGCTTGCTGAAACTGAGTAGGACCTGAAGCATTTGCAGCAGAAGGTCAAGGACATAGTTTTCAATATGGATTGAAAAAGTAAAATAAGGATTGAAGCTCAGTATCAAAAAGACAAAGACTGTCACGACTGGGACAACTGGCAGCACCATAACAAGAAAGAGAGGTTGAGGCTCTAAACAATTTCCACAGTCAGCATTCTTGGCACCAGAAGTCAGAAAATTAAATACCAAATTCCACTGGGGAAGTCTGCTGTCAGGGACCGCTCCAAAAGTGCTTAAAAAGTAATGATGTCAGTCTAGAGACTCAGGCGTGTATGATCCAAGCCATGGTCTTCACAATTACTTGCTATGCATCAGAGAGCTTTAACAGTGATTAAGGATGATAAAAGAAGAATTGATGCCTTTTAGTTGTAGTGCTGGAGAAGAGTACTGAACATTGGATAGCCAAGTGAACAAACAGGTCTGTCTGACAGGGTGAAACTAAGTTTTCCTTGGAGGCAAGATTCTGAAGTTACGGCTCATAGACTTTGGGCATGTGGTCAGGAGCAACGAGTCCTTGGAGAAGAATATTATGCTTGTAAGGGTAGAGGGACAGCACAAGAGAGGAAGACCTTCGATGAAATGGACTGGCACAGTAACGGGTAATGTCAGAGTGAGTCTAGTTAAGGACAGTGCAGGGTTCAGAGCTATTGTACAGAGTCAAAGACAACTTGGCACAAAACAATTTCGTTACATCTGTATGGGAATTTTTTCCTTTAGGAAATTACATAGTTTAATATGTAATTTGTGTTTAGAGGAAGGAAAAAACTAAAGTTAGCTAGCTTATTACCCATATACTCAAACATTTTTATTGAAAATTTAAAACCACAAATTTAGACGCTGATAAAAATTGCGACCTAAGTTTTTAATTCAGATTAAGAAAATATATTCAGTTAAGCACTATCTTTTAGGTGTGGGTATGTTTTTTTAATATGTTGAGTACAGAGTTCGAGTTAGAACCAACCCATAGCTGAGCCCTCCAGCATGTTTTCAGAGGCAGTTAATCACACAAAAGGAGACTGACTGCCCATCTTTCTCCCATGAAACAGCTAGTGGATTCAAACTGCATGCCTTCAGGATTACAGCACACCTTTTTTTTTTTTTCTTTAATTCACTTTATTTCTATTATATAAAAACAATTACGTTCAAAAAAAAAACAATTACGTACAGCACACCTTTTGACCAACAGAGCTCTCTTTTTTAAATATAGCAGGCAGAACATTTAATTATTTCCAGTTAACACCTCAAAATCACATTTAATGGTAATTATATTGGCTTTTTCTACTGACTGGCAGGGGGTTCTTCTACTAAAGGCTCCCAGAGTTTTCACTGTATCACTCATTTTCTGTATCATCATTCCACTCAATTCATTTTCAGCCTGAAAAATTAATTTGTTGACCCTGAAATTTGTCTTTTAACTTTTTAACATCTGGTTCTTCTTTAACCATTCTCAGCTCTGCATTTGTAATCTATATACTTTCTGTATGCTGCGTTTTTAGGGATTTGCTTGAGAATATCAAGTATCTTTGTATAATATTCTTAGCCTCTCATGTGGACTGTCACATATAGCCAATTCCACAAAGCCAGTCCAGCAGCCCTGCCATGACAGGAAGAGCTTTTTCCCCCTGGTACTAACTTGGTGGAGTGCCTAAGTATTGAAGCCTTTACTGTTGCCTACAAAACCAAAAGATTCACAAAGAAAAATTTTACAACTTAAAACCATAAAGCAAGTCATAATTTTTCACAGTTTAAGATATCTGTAAAAGAAAATATGCTTTACGTAAAACGGAAATAATCTAAAAAAAAAACCAAAACAAATAATCTGGTATAGAGATTTAAAAAAATCTGCTAGCTACATCTCAACCAAGTTCTCCTGTCCACTATTATTCACCTCTCTGCATCATTTCTTATGGCTAGTTCTACAGCTTCACCTCCTTGGTCAGCTTGCCACCTCTCCCACTCAGTCTGCACAGGACAATCAGCATATTGTAAACAAATCTAATCATGTCACAAAACTCCCATCTATCCACTTTTCCTTAAAATCCTGTAAGGGCTTCCTAGAATCTTAGGATGTGATAGGTCTTCTAGGAGGCCATGAAGCCCAGCACCCTCTGGTTTCTGGTAACCTGTACCACTTCTGCAGTCCTTCAAAGAGCCTCAAAAGGCCTTTACCATGTGATTCCTGCGTCACCTTATTACCTGCGACTCACTTCCCTCAGAGAAGCACCAGATCCCAAAACCAGGTCAAGGGCCTGTGGTGTATGTAGCTTTATGGCTCATCAAGATCGTGAATACAGCCATGTTACATAATATTTGTCCATTTCTAGCTAGTTTATAAACTCAATATGGCTAGACACTGTTTTTGCTTACTTACCTTTATCCCTACAACCATTACTTTATAATTAAATGAAACCAAAATACAGCAAAATAGGATAAACTGGCACTTCAGTGAATATTTCAAATTTTTAAAAAATTTTTCCATTGTATATTTTCATGCCTCCCACTGCTCCCCCTCCCCTAGCCCACCTCACAATGCACTTTGTTTCAGATTTTTGTCATACTGTAGAATGTTAAAATCAGTCATTTATTACTATAAAATCAAATTCTTTATTATTCAATTAAGCTATTACAATGACTATAAATTATTAATAGACCTGTATATACTAAAATAGGGTTTAGTGTATTCCTAAAACAGTTGTTCACTGAAGGCAGTAGTCAACATTAAATTCAACTCTCTTTTCAGATTAACCATGTATCCTGAACACACACAGAATACTGCCTCCTAATTCTTACAGCCAAAATCCTTTTAGAAATATTCTAAAATTGCTAAAAATGAGAATAAAGTAAGGCAAATAGCTAAGAAGCTTGAACAGAAGCCCCCTTAAGTTTTTCATCTTCATGAACCAGAAACTAAACTCTTCACTAAAGAGCTTCATAAATCATTTGGAAAATCAGTGTAGAAGGAAACAAAGACCTACACTTCCCACCCCATTCTGTAAGTCTTCCATTCTTGAGAAATGAGCAAGTGGCACCAGTTGTAAAAGATCATAATAAAGGTGATACTCAAGCTTTGGTTCTGGATCAGTTTTCTGGCTTGGACTGGTCAGGCATCACTTCCTTCTGAATCTTCATTAGTGAATTTAAACGAGTATGTACAAACATTATCTTCTCTTTAAGCTGAGTGGAGAAACAGAAATATAGCAGGACATTTTAAGCCTAATGTTAAATGTACTGGTTGTAGGAACCACTTAAAGTTATTTTAGTGAACGGAAACTGGCAATAAATGTCTTAACCACTTCAGAAATACATTTGTTCTTTTTCTGGAAAAAATAATAGATAAAGATATAGATATGCATATAAAACAGAGCACAATAAGATCCTCAATTTAAAATTAATGTGAAAGAAGATTGGCCATTATTGAGCATTACTGCTTCCTTTCCCTCCTACTTGTTTTAAACATCAAATACTAAGAAGGAAGAGTTTAACACAGTCCTTTATTACTTTTCTATTCCACTAGAAAGCTTCCAAATTCATTCAAATGGTTAGCTTTAAAACAGATGTCTATTGTAATTAGATAATTTCCAAGAATTCTTTCACCTGAGAACAGTTATACCTAGAACTAAATTTAGTGGTGGGACTCAGCATGTGACAGGTATTTAGCCCATAATTAAAGTTATTATACAAGACTATGTAGAACTTAAATCTTCTGTTGAAGTCAGCTAAAATATTAATTTTTAAATTTGCACAAATGTTAAATCTACTTTTTATAATCTACAATAATACTTAAAGTTCATTAAGAAAGCTTGCTTAAACTGAACAAATCAACACTAGCCTATGATGACTATAACTGCAGAATTGGGTGTTCTACTATTAGAAATAACTTCTAAATACATGAATATGGGATTGCCTGAATCAGGTTATTGCCTGGGAACACTGTTTTCAAAGTAAAATCTTGGCAGTTGTATTTCCTGTGTATGTATTAAATTACAGTGGCTTGAGGGGAAGGTGAGGGAAAGAAATCGACTAAATTAAAACTGACCCCCCCCCACCCCGGATTGTCAGGCTAGAAACCATTCTGAGTGCTCACGGATCAAACACTGAGCGTAGAAATAGCCACTTCCTCTTTGCCCCATACTTCAGGTACAGCAGAGCGGCCATACCTGTGGTGCTGACAGGTCTAGGGCAGTAAACTTTTAATTTTTTCAAATAAAAATTTAGTCTTAATATCAAAAAGCAGATAATTTTGAATAGTAAAAGTTATTAAACACTTTTAAAAAGTTTTTTAAAAACTGGCTTTTAAATTTATTCCACTAGAACAAACATGTTTATCTGAGTGTAACTATTAAAACTAGTGAAGGAGACAATGTCCCACTCAGGGTACACAAAGTGAAAATTGTTAGTCAGTCTGAATTGTTAAATGTGTCACCTCCAAATATCAGAGAAGTGATCTCAGTAGTTTTAAGAAATTAGAAAAGTAGTGTTTAGAAATTAGAAAAATTACCTTCTCTGATAATATAAAGGAGAAGTCACTGAACACTAAACTGTTCTAAGCCCAAAACAAGTAGCATTTTCAAAAGATGATACTTGACCCAAGAAAATAATTTGAGGTCAAACTGCATCTCTGCTAAGAACTGAAAAAGAAATCTATTTTGCTACGGTACATCTCAACATCAAGAAGACAAAAGTCCTCACCACTGGGCCAACACACAACATCATGATAAGAGATAAGGCTGAAATGGACAATGATTTTATCTTGCTTGGATTCACAATTCATACCCTTGGCCCTAGCAGTCAAAAAATCAAAAGATGTACTGCAGAAAAAATTCAAAGCCCTATCAAATACTTAAAAGATACAGAAACAAATCTTGTTTATAACCCAAGAATTGCATCTTTAAAGCTTTGAAAAATGTCATGTATACAAATTGTATATTATAAGATTATAATAATAATTCTACAATTATATTTATTGTTGTTATGTGCCATCGAGTTGAGACCTTATGTACAACAGTCTGAAACCCTACTCTATCCTGTGCCAACCTCACTGATTCTGACACACCCACCTCGATTACCTCAGTGACTAAATCAATCCACCTCAGAGGTTCTTCCTCTCCTGTGCTGTCCCTTCATCCTCCCAAGCATGACATCCCTCTCCAAGGACTGGTCCCTCCTTATAACATGTCCAAAGTATGTCAGATGAAGCGTCAGAATCCTAGTCTCCAAGCAGCAGCCTGTTTTAACCCTCTCTAGGATGAACCTATTTGTTTTCTTAGCAGTCCACAATATATTAAATACTCTTCTCCAGCACCACAGCTCAAAGCCATCAAATCTCCTGTCATCCCTAGTAATTGTCCAGCTCTCTGATGCATAGCAAGTGATTGCAAAGATCATGACCTATATCAGGTGCACCTTAGTCTCCAGAGTGACACCACTGCTCTTCAGTACTTTGGAGAGATCCTTAACAGCAGACCCTCTACTGCCAAGAGTGTTGACTGTGGAGCCAAACTAAAACTGTTAACAATCTCAATCTCTTCACTATCCATCATGATGCTGTCAATTGGCTCAGTGGTGAGAATTCTGTTTTCTTAATACTGAGCTTCAATCCATATTGAAGGCTACAGTTCTTGATCTTCTGCAGCAAGTGCTTCAGGTCCTCCTCACTTTCAGCAATCAGGGTTGTGTCATCTGTATAACACAGATTTTTAATGAATCTTCCTCCAATCCTGATGCCACACTTCTCCTCAGAGACAGTGAGGCTGGCACTCTCCCTTCCCAATTTTGAACCATGCAGTGTTTCTTGCTCTGTTCTGACGACTGCCTTCTTGTCCAAGTATAGGTTTCGCATTAGAATGATCAAGTGTTCTGGGATTCCCATTCTTCTCAGAGTCAGCCACAGTTTATTGTGATCCACAGTCAAACGCCTTTGCATAATCAATGAAACACAAGTAGACATTCCTCTGGTACTCCCTGCTTTCAGACAAGTTCCATCTAACATTAGCTACAATATGCCTAGTACTACGACCCCTTCTAATTCCAGCCTGCATTTCTGGCAGTTCTCTGTTGATGTACTATTCCAGTCCTGGAGATTGTTGTTGTTGTTGTTATGT